GATGCTGCAGCCGTCGAGGTAGAAGTCGGTGCTGCCAGACCGGACGGAGGTGGGGAAGTAGCAGTATCCCAGGTTGTCGCCGAGGTCCTTGAGGAAGTACAGGTTCAGGGACCGGTAGGTTCCCTTGCGAAGAGCCTTCTTCATGGCGAGCTCGGAGCCGTCCGAGGCCCAGTTGGAGTTGATGGTGCGGTCTGTGCCCTTGAGGACAAACGAAATGCCGTAGGGGGCATAGGCCGTGTTCATGGCTGTGAGCTGGTTGGCGAGTTGGGTGTCCTAGGGGGGCTGTTAAGCATGGCTACTATAATGAGAGAGGTACTGGTCATACTTACAGTGACATAGCCGTCGGCCTCAGCAGTGGAAGAGGCAACGACGTGGAAGTACACATCAACACTGATGGTGGCAGCAGTCGAAATACCTCCTGCAGCCGCGAATGCCTTTTCTTGAACGGCAAAGTTTTGCGAGATCTTGATGTGCTCAGCGCTGGGCTCCTTAGTACCGCAACTGAAGACCTTGTGCTTGCTACCTGCAACCGCTGCGGAGGCGGTTGATGCAAGGAGAGCCGTCAGGATAGTAGCCTTGAGTTGCATGATGGGTGAGGTAGGGCACTTAGAACACACAGAGACTGGAGGATGATGAATTGGTTGCCATCATCACGCACAACACAGGCACGTCTTATACTTCACAGTCTCCCATCTCTGTTGACCACTTCCACTAGGTTCCCATCCCAGTCTTACCACCTTGGGGAGGTGGACAGCACAAGACTCACGGTGCCGTCGAAGCTATCATGAATGAAGAAGGTTGTCCTTACCCCCCGCAACCACTCCCCCTCGACAGCAGGGCATGAGCTGCGTGACGTCCTGCATTGCGCTATCTTCCCCTTTCTCTCCGCAGCGTGCTGAAAGCCTGAACAGCTACCGCCCACTCAAATCGACATGTCCGAAGCAGCTAGCCGCCACCGGCGGTCTTCGACTGCTCTTCGTCGGAGATTAGCCTGCCTCACGGTTGAGCTCTAGATCAATCAGCGCTTCAACTGCCACCGCCAAGCCTTATGGCTGCTGCTTCTTTGCCATGCCAAGAGATCATCCCGCCCACAAGCCTCGGATGCGCCGATGAAACCTCCCCTTTCAGGAAGCTGTAAGTTGTCCGCCAAGTCCAGATAACGGTGTGCCCCGGTCATGAACTGCCGGAGGGCGGAACCAGATGCGTAGGATAAGCATCGTTGGCTTAGTTCAAACGGGGAGGAAGTTTAAGCTTGACTCCTACCGTCCTACGCTATGTCAATCGGTCGGGTATCACTTTGCCTCTCAGTATGGATGACAGCCACGATGGCCAACCGGAATAACAATAGAGTGAAAGGAGCTCCCCCTGAATCCATGTGATCTGCGACTCTCCTCACTGAGGTCAAGCCATCGATCGAAACGAGGGAGAAGCAGCTCTCTTCTGCATGGAAAAACCCCCACCGGATACATTCTGACGACGAAGAAAACCTGGGACTCATTGGACAAAAGAAATGAGAAACTTTACCATGTAGCAGGGGCAACGGAAGCCAGAAACGCGAGGCCAATGTGTGGCTATTGGGGGGGAGCACAGTGAGTTTGAGGAGTGCAGTGCCTCACCAGCGACACTGGTCGTGCTTCTTCTCCGCGTCTAATAGACAACGGGGCAGTGTTGTCTCACAACAAGCAAGCCGCTTTACAGCGGCCCGGTTAGCTCAATCGGTAGAGCGTGAGACTCTTAATCTCAAGGTTGCGGGTTCGACCCCCGCATCGGGCTCAATTCCCGGTGGAGATCGTCAGATTTCAACCTTCATTTTTGCTGTTTTTGTTCTGTGTGGACGTGGCAAGTCATGACAGGCCGCACTAGCGTTAAAAGCACGTTCCAATCCGTTAAAAACACGTTCAGGCCCACTATGTGTGGCAGTGCGGTACATCCTAATCGACGCCAAGCCAGTAGCCCAGACAGATACCCACCTAATCCCTGCCCATCCTAGTCTTCTTTTGGCTGTTGCCGTCTTGAGTAACTGCCAAAGTGTCTAGCTTTGTGTAATCTCCTCGTATGGTTTCGATACTAATGCTTTCGATGACGAGGCCGAACTGGAACTGATCGAGAAGCTCGCTACGGTAAAGGAGGCGATTCCTTACGTTCCCGCTGCTACCGCGCATATAAACACCCGGTGTATCGGCTTGAAATTTGGTTGACAACAGACCCCAGGAAAAGACTAGGCCACTAAGGATTTAATGGGCGATCTGTCTGTACTCGGTTTAGGGTCTAAGCCTCGATCTTGCGGATGTACCGGTGGCGGTGCGGAAGTAGGCCTGAACGTGTTTTTAACGGATTAGAACGTGCTTTTAACGCGAGTGACAGGCCGGAGAATGACCCCTAACCCTGACTTGCCCAGCAAGGCCGGTGAGTTGAGAAGGGAAGAGGTGGATGGGGGTGGGTAGCTTTGACCCACTGGAAGAGATCAGAAGGATAATGAAGAGAAATATTGCGCACTGCGGCAGAGGGGGCGAAATGTACCAAGCCCCGAGAGCTGAGTACGTGTGCTGGGAACCAAGGGTCTCTGGGAGCTGGGAAGCTGCAAGGGAGGGACTAGTGACCACTGGCATGAGCGATCATTGTTCGGGGCTGAGAGAGGGCTGACATAGGGCTGAGACAGACGAGGTTGAGCGTGACCGGGGGAGATCAGCCGGTCAAGCTCACGGGGACCGCGTTCCGTTTGGATGAACCTCGTGAGAGGAGACAGTCGACCGTGGGTTCAGTAACGTAACGCGCCTGGTGAGCAGCGCCAACGCGCTCATGTAAGCGAGTGCTTTGCGTCATGTCGATGTTCTGGCACGTGGCTTGGCCAGGAGGGGATAGAGGCAACGGCTTACATCCGAAAGCCTGCATGTTCTGGTGGACAAGTGTATCTGAGGGATCATCTGTTCCAGATAAATGATCTTGAGGTTATGAAACTTGGAAGTGTTGTGGGAAGTTGGAGGAAGAAGTCAACTTGGCATTTGGCAATAAATCAAGCATTGGCGCCTGGAATATGACGCCATAGGCCGCAGGTACAATTTAAGCATTCCCATCCATAAAGTCGGCATTCCCAACCACGAGGCTGTCTGGAGGTCGCACTACAGCAGCCAGCATGGGATTGTTCAAGTCCGCGATCAACAAGTTCACGGAACACCGGCATAAAGTGCGCGCCTCGGACTCCTTCCCCGGGCAGCAACACCGTTCACAGCAGGTCGCACCGCAGGCCGTCCTATCACAGGCTGCACCAGCACCACCTCCACCAGCGAATATGCCGGGAACGTTGGAAATCCAGTTGGTCAACAACTCGGACTCCTCCCAAATCTACGCCTACATAACCGGCATCTCACTCCAAGAGCGACAAGGCGCACGGGTCCTCCTCAAGGCCGATGGCAGGAGTCTCTACTTTCCCGAGAGTCCCTCGGAGATCATGCAGCCCCTGAAAGAAGACTGCGCCATCCCTCTCGGCGCCCCAGGAAACACCACAACAGTTCACATCCCCCAGATAGCCGGTGGACGGATCTGGTTCAGCCGCGACGCCAAGTTGACCTTCATGCTGAACCCCGGTCCTGCATTGGTCGAGCCCTCAGTCTTGAACCCCAGCGACCCCAACGCAGCAGTAGATTTCGCCTTTGCAGAATTTACCTACAACGACCAGCAACTCTACGCCAACATCAGCTACGTCGACTTCGTCCCCCGGCTCCCCGTCGCCCTCACCCTCCAAACCGTCACCAGCGCCGTGCAACACGTCTCGGGCATGCCTCCCGACGGCCTAAACCAAGTCGCCCAGCGTCTCCGCGACCAAGCAGCCAAAGACGGGAAACCATGGGACAAGCTGATCGTCCCCCAACCCGGCTCCTCCTCTCCCCTGCGCGCCCTGAACCCCACCCACGGAGACGCGGTCGGCGCCAACTTCTCCGGCTACTACGAGCCCCTCGTCGAACAAGTCTGGGCCAAATACCGCGCTCAGCCCAACTCCCCCTCCTCCTCCCTCAAAATCAACACCCAAGCCGGACCCGGCATCGTGACCGGCCAAGTCAACGACAAGGACGAGCTGATCATCGCGAACGAACCCTTCAACAAACCCACCACCGCGGACATCCTGGGCTGCAACTCGGGCCCCTTCACGACCGGCGAGTCATCCGTGCGCAACGCCATCATCCCGCGTCTCGCGGCCGGGTTCGTGCGCAGTAGCATCCTCGACGTGGCGGAGCAGCCCAGCAAGCCCGAGACGTTCTATACGAGGGACCCGACTAATCACTATGCCAGGATCGTGCATGAGGTGAATCTGGATCGGAAGGGGTATGCGTTTGCGTATGATGATGTACAGATGGATGGAGGGGAGGATCAGTCGGGCAAGGTGAATGCGGGAGATCCAAGGGTGTTCATTGTTGCGGTGGGAGGGAAGGGGGCGTATACTGGGGATAGGTTGCCGTAGATGGGAGGGACATCGACTGGGAGAGGGCAGGGGCAGGGAGGAGGGAGGGAGAGCAAAAAGGACGGAGTTGGATAGAGGACGGCAGCAAAAGAAGAGGTGTGGAGAAGCTGGGAGTCGAACCCAGTACCTCGTGCAGGTAACATGTGTGATGCTAAGCACGCGCTCTACCAGATGAGCTACATCCCCGTGAGGGATTTGTTGAAGAACATGGTTGGGATTGGCGTTGATGAGGGAGTGATATCGGCAATGTTTTCATTCTATAAGTGGGTCAGTTTTGGTGCTGGTGCCACGGCACTAGGCTCGGTTTGGACACTGGTTCCGGGACTTGGTAGAAAAGACTTTTTCATTTACCAGACATAGTTCTCATTCTCAGATCATTTACTTTGGAATTGCTCGTACTTGGGATTCATTGAACAACTCTAACACTCGATTGACTTTCTTGAATGGCAACCTGCCAGGAGCATATGGAGAAGCAGGGCGGTGTGAGGTTTATTCACGGGTGTTGAGCTATAGGGTATTTCACGCTGGGAAATGGCAACCAAGCACCCGGTTAGTGCAGTGGTTAGCACGCGGCTCTTATACCCCTTTCGAAAGAAACAGGTCATGCCGAAACGCCAGTTCAAACCTGGCACTGGGTAATTCCTTTTGCATTTTTACCAGTTTGCCATAAGGGCAATCGAAAGGAAATGCAGTTTGTCAGTTCAATTGACTTTGAATTATTTTTGTCGACGCATCCGTGTAGTCAATTGTTCTTATTACTGTACTGCTGATTATTGTTCTTACTGTGTCACGCCAATATGTACGTTACCCATCATTCACGAATCTCCTTGGTATGACTGCTCAACTCATGACAACACCCCTCCACCTCCCCCTCTCGGTATGCATAATCCTCTCCTTCTCCTTCTTATCATTGATAATGCCCACACCAACATTCCACTTCCCACAGCATCCCTCCCGTCCCTTCACCGTGCTCCTCTCCCCGTTCCTCTCCCGACTTGCACTCCTATCCCGTTCTCGATCCTTTTTCGCCAGCGTCGTGGGAGCACTCATAACTCCCACCTCCTCCCCGTTTTCAGCGAGCAGCTCCTTGATACGTACTAATCCACCGCCTTCATCTGTCCCGCCGAGATCAGGTGTTAGGACGTAGTTGATCCTACTGTCCAGTGTCCCGATAAAGGCGCCAACACCATGTCTCTCGACCAGATTTCCGGCGGGATCGATGATGTTGACGGAGAACTTCGGGTAACGTTTCGCGGCTTCGAGACGGGCTTGGGCTGCTAATCGTGCGGAGTGCAAGTCGCTGTTTTCACGAGGCATGAATTCGTTGCTCGGTGGTGGGAAGCCCGGACTGGGTGGCGGTGATCGATGGTCGAAGGAGGATGAGCGACTTCCCATGCGAACTTGACTTTGGCTACGGTTATGGCTGGACATGGGACGAGGGTGGCGATAGCGGTCTGCTACCTCGTCGATTCGCTCGCGAGGCTTGCAGAGGGACTGGAAGAGGCCTTCCGGGTCGTTTGGTGTGCGAAGACTGCGGAGACTGGGGAAGCCGCCGGCGGCTATGGAGCGGGAGAGGATGGTGTCTGCTATTGTCGCACGAGTTGGCAGATACGGTATGTCCCAGTGTAGACGGCGGACAGACGGCGAAGCGAGGTAGGGAAACAGCATGATAAACTCGTCAGGCGGCATCGATGGAAGGGAGGATTGGACGAGGTTAAACGTTTGGAGCGAGGTTAGGTTGGCAAAGATGCGAGCCAAGGCGGGCAGAGAGTCAACATTGACGTGTACGAGGGTCAATGTCGTTATTCTGGTGGCGGTATGACGCGTCGCAAAGGTAGAGAAGCCTGCAGTCGTTACACCTGGAAGGTGGGCGAGGGTGAGATGTTTTAGCGAAGGCAGGGACAAAAGACTGCTATCGTTGAACGACGTATGCGGTAGATGTGAGAGGTGGAGCGTTTGGAGAGACGGGAGTCGTCGGAGACTGTCCGTTATGAGATAGTCGGGGGTTAATGTTGCGCCTGGTCGACAGTGTATTGTCAGGTTTGTAAGGTGGGACCAGCTGCCATGATGGTCGAAGAATCCCCGTGCTTGGTGTGGATGTAAATTGTCGGGTGCAAGGCTCTGGTTGCTCGTCGATGGTCGTCCTTGCAGTCTTTGATGCGGCGAGGCCTCGACTATCCACGTCATGTCCTTTAACCGCTCTCTGATGGTTAGAGCTTGAAATAGCCGCGAAAAGACATGATCATATTTCGGGTAGAATCCTGCAACTCGTTCCAGGTTCGGACAGGCCATGATGACGGACGCGACTAAGCTGTGATAGTCCTCCAATGCCACGCCCGGTGGCAGCATGTTGGGCACCTTCAGCGACCGCACCATGCCACCGAGACGAGGGTTATTCCGCAGACTCCTCCGCAACAGTACTAATCTGGCATTGTGGTTGACTTTGTAACGTTTTTTCAAGGCTGTACCTTCTGCGCCGATGAGCTGAATGTCCTCGTATAGTGACACCCGTGCAAACTTCAGCCACTTCTTCGCGCTGAGCGCAACAGCACAGCAGTCCCGCATCCAACACGTGGCACAGCTGGCGCTACCGGGCTGTAGATGCAGCTTCTTCAACCAATCCATTATCAACTCCAGCACTTCGCCTGGCAAAGCCGCAAATAGCTCGCCCGGCTTGCGCTTGATCCGGTATGCCTTGATCGGGGCCGGACGCTGCACCTGTGGCCTCCAAGGAACGTGTTGACCCGAGTTCTGCAGTTGGTAGTTGGCGTACGACAGCCTGGAAGCAGCAAGACCCTTCTGTGCTGGTGAGCTCATGGACTCAAAGCTGGTCTGGCTGCCCCACGATGACGACCTCATCCGGCCCTCGACGCTCTCCCATGATGACAGGGCGCTGCTGTAGCTGCCGACTGTGGAGGAGCTGCCGCGTCGTGCCCGATTCTCCAAGGTTTGTCGGCCATAGAGGCCTGGCATGCCCTCTACCGCCATCATCGGATCGGCGTTTGGTGCTTGTGAAGCGACAGTTGGAGTCCTCACTATGCGCTTCTCTGACTCCGTCTTTTGCTGGACTGGCGGCAGCACGAGCAAGTCTGGCAGGGGACCGTTCTGTTTCGGCGGTGCTAAAGATGAGGGATGACTTGTCGGTATTGGTGCAGGCGGTCGAGCCGTTCTTACGGGTACCGAGTGGCGCGTGGACGAACTCTGTGTCACCAGTCGCCCTCGTTCCGTCGGTGGTGGTGGCTGTGAATATCTCAACTGTCCTCTGTCATCAGTGCTTGGCGTTGCTTGTTGATGAATAGCCGAGTCTGACAGGATACGCTGATGATACGGCCTGTTGTAGAAAGCCGGGGGAGGGCTGCAGTAGTCAGTATGAGATCACATTTGCAGCTCCCATGGTCATTACTGTATGAAACGAATGGATAGCTCAGCTTTGAGCTTTAGTGGTGATAAAGAACACCAAGACGGAAAGAGGAGACTAGAAACAATGACGGGCAAACCAGGAGAAAGCTGTAGCCCATTGGTACTGTATATACATACGACCAAGTATTGGAAATCAAGGAAAAGGCGCTCGGCGCAGCCCACACCAACCACAGGAACGCAGTTATCGCATCCTGGCACACTTGTGCGCGGAACGAAGGGAGTCGCGAGTTAAATCCTGGTCAGCCCAACACCACCCATCGGACAGCTCTCCCACCAGTGAGGTTCACTGTCGACAAGGTTTGGAGAGCCTGTGAGCGTCTCTAGCAGGCGGCTAAGCCATTCGTGGACACGCTGTGGCTTGCATGTCGGGCGCATAATGTGCGCTAGCAAACGACTTGTCCGGAAATTGCGACGACCAACAGAGAAAGGGATCGGCCACGATGCGAACTGCGCACAGCAGATATCGTACGAATTGGGTGCCCTGTTATCGTCATATTGGGTCTTGGCTTGCTGATGAGCCGCAAGGAACAGGATATCGGAAAGCCCACAGTGAAAGGCGCGCGAATAATCCTTGTCCATCTCGCGATTTATCACCACGACAACCTGGAGGGTGGTGGCTGGGCTACCAAGATGGAGAATCAAGGCAGACACGATGAGGGGCCGATCCGATGCCAGAACAGTGGGAACCTTGTGCAGGACGCTAGGGAAAGTGGTTCGAATAACAAAATGTAGGACAAAGTTGGATGTGGTAGCAGTTAACCGTTGAAATAAGAGATGAAGGGGCCATAAAGCACTGGTATCGATATGCATTCCACGGCAGATGGATGCGTAAATCTCAGGATGCAACCTTGCCAGCAAGGACGCCGTTAACGCCGGCCGAGTGGTCTGTAACTGGGAAGCCTCATGTCCGTCGCCGGTTACCCGACCACTGGACTGCTTGCCCCTGAAAAATTGCGGGGATCGGGTTGTTTGGGTGTGTGCCAGGAACAGTGTCGAACTTGTTTGAACCAACAAAAACACAAATGGGAACTTTTAGCTTACCGGGATATCGTTTTGCGCTTGCCATTCTTGGCTTCGCCTGCACCATCACCGTCGCCCTTGTCGTTCTTGGCCTGTACTTGAATGTCGACATGCTGTTTCTTCGCCGTGCTGGGAACCTCATTGCTCGGTAGCGCGTCCTTCCCTAGCAGATCCTCGCTCTTACTCCTCCAGAAGGACAGCGAGAATCTCCTCCGCGAACTGCTCGACTTGCTGCTGGACCTGCTTCCCGGCCGGCTACTGGTGGTGCTGTCCTTGTCGCTCTCATAGTAGCTGTATTGACTTGCGGCCTCTGCAGGCTTGACTGGCCTCCACCACGATGACCAACTGGATCTCCTCTTTCTCGGTTTCGGAGGCGGCGGTGCTGCTGGAGACGGCCCGCTGACGCCGTACGACATTGCCCGACGTCGAGTACTTGCTGCTGTCGAGCGTATCTCATAGGATTGTCTCCGCTGTCACGTCGTCCAAAGGCCACGGGTGAGTCTCTGCAACCAGGTTTGTTGTCACAATGCCTGCTCTGCTGCGGTTTCGTCGTCCAATGCGAGCGTGATGGCTTGTGTGGTTTCTCATACGATGGCGAAAGTTTCCGAAACAGGTGAGCGCTGCCAGGGGGTCGAAGACTCAGATTCTGCGTCACGCAGCCTCATCCGCCATGCTATCTGTATCTGGCTGGCTGGGTTGTCACTTTTCCTCCGTTTGCCAATTCGGATTTCTCTCACAGCGGGCTGCTGCAAGGAAGAACGGTGCCGTAAGACAGGTATGTAGAAGAAAACGGGCTGTAGGGCGGAATATGCCTTTAGTGCCTGCTCCTGACGGCGGACAGCCGCGAATGTCTTTAATCCGAAGCTTAATACGTAAATTGGAAAACGCTGTCACTCCACCAATGGATCAGCCGACGATCTGTGCAATAGATGGCTGGAACAGCTCGGAAGCGATGGCGTGCATGGAGAAGCTGCTTGGCCTCGACGGGATCTGGGGGCTGTGGTGTGCAGTTGTCGAATCAGAAAGTCTCAGGCGATGCATCCGTGGATTCGTGAATGTTGCCCCTCCAAGAATAGCTCGCCCTCACATATCAACTAGATTCGAGATCTGCAAAACATGGTAAAATGTCAGAGACCTTTTTTCTCTTGTTGGAGGGTTTGATCATGTATGGCCAGACGTTGGCTTGTTACTGTCATGA